TGCTTCTCCCTCTCCCATTCCTCCTGCTTGTGTTCCTTCTCTCGCTGTGAAATAAATAAATAAAATCTTTAAAAAAAATTAAAAAAAAAAACCCCACAGTTTACTCATCTGTTAAATAGGATTAATAGCTCCTACTTCATTGGGTTGTTGTCAGGCTCTGTACCTAACACATAAAGTACAAAATCCGTGTCAATGAATTTGGGGTTTTGTGTGTGTGTGTGTTTTAATCAGAAAATCTTCCTTGAGCGCTCAGGATTTAAATATATATTACCTTCCTGGTCTAGAAGTCTGTCTTTGATGTAGGTCAGCATGGAAGTATTTTAACAGAGCTACTTAAGAACCCATTTCATAGCTTGTGATATTTTCCAGCCCTTAGATTCAGATTTTTCATACATTTTCTTCTTCTTAGTCTTATAGGATTATATTTTCATTAATGCATATTCAATTTATTCCTAGATTATCTTGGGCATATTTTTCTTTTCCTCATCTCCTTCAAAGAAAGTAGAAATTTGAGAAAACAAGAAGTTTTGGAGAATTTAAACAACGGATGATCATTATTGTTGGCAAAAACTAACTTGAAATGAGGATCCTTGATACAATTATGCTTAGCGTATCTATCAATTTTCTTGGGACACATCTTTAGAGAGAGAGACTAAAACCAATTTTAAGGGGCGCCTGGGTGGCTCAGTCAGTTAAGCGTCTACTTTTGGCTCAGGTCATGATCCCACCTGGGATTGAGCCCCCCCCAAGTCCTTTCTCAGTGGGGAGCCTGCTTCTCCCTCTGCCTACCACTCCCCCTGCTTGCTTGCACGCTCTCTCTCTCTGTCAAATAAATAAATAGAATCTTTAAGAAAAATAAAATCAATTTCAATTTTTATTCTATTTATGTGCTTTTCCCTGTGTATATCTCAAGGTATTTACCATTCAGTTACTGTACATAATACTCCTGTGAAACTCATGGTCCAAAAACATTAATTAACTTAATTTACAAGTGGGTAAACTACAGCCTAAAGTGGTTGGGTTGCTTTAGGCATCTGGACAAGTCTAGGGAAGTTGACAGCTGCCAAACAAGGCCTGTTCAATTAATATGGTGTCCCAGAATTAAGTTCCTCTGAAAAGGAGAAATCTTTTCCTGTGCTAGTGTATCCCCAGTGAAACCTGTAAGTTTTTGTTTTTGTTTTCTCCCAGCTAGATTTTTATTTACATGAGGAATGTTTGGAACTTTATGCCCCACCCAAATCCTTCTCTTCAATGCTAATTTTCTTGTTTACTGTGTGTTTGCGTGTGTGTGTCTGTGTGTGTGTATGCACACATGTGTGTTTCACCCTTGGCAGTTCCCCTTTCAAGTTATTGTCTTAGTGTTTGCCTCCTAGCATTCTTTTCTGGCCATATACTTAGTATCTAACCATTTTTTATGCTGGTAGTATAAGACTGCATTCAGTAGATTCCTTGCTATTATCTTTTGACTTAATAATTATTTGCTGTAATGCCACATGGATTTTCTTATGTATCTTCATAAATGTAATTTTTAAACCCTCTTTAATGTTGGATTGATTTACTCCCTAATAAAGGAGCTGAGCACTCCTAGATACCTCTTGACTCCTTTCTTTTCCCTACATCCCTAGAGTTGCTGGACCACCATATGGCTTCTATAATTTTATTCTGACCATATCAATATGCTGCTTAAAATCTTGTGATGGTTCACCCTGACTCAATAAAATGTGATCTCCTTTGCTTGGGATACCATGCCCTTCCTGATCTGGCATCTGTCCACTTCATGATCCTCATGTAATCCTTCCTAAGCTGGGCTCTAGTCATACTAAAATACTATCCTCTGCCTCCGCACATGCCGTTCCCTTTACCAGGAACATCTTTCCGTATCCTATACCTAAACTAATGTGTCATCCCTCTCCCTCCTTAGAGTGTGAGTTCTTTCACGGTGGAGCCAAGTGTTCTATTTTTGTAATTAGAGGTTGGTAGAGTGCTAGATACACAGTGTGAGCTTTAATACATGTTTGTGGGATTAGTTCATGTAATTAATAGTTGCATGGCTGTGGGATTCACCATCAATAGAAAATACCTTATAATGACTACTAATAACAAAGTTTTCATGAAATTCTGGAGTGTTTAAGCTCTGGTATCCCAAAATAGGACCTGGTTGGGACCTCAAGGTTATCTGCATTTAGTAGAGGGAACTAGAGGTTGGGTGAAGGAACACGGTGATCAAACTTGGAGAAGCTCTATGAAGTTCAGTAATTTTAAAGGAACATAGGCAGAAAAAAGTTCTAAAAAACAATTTTATTTTCTGTTTTCCATCAATTTAACTCTTTCATCCAATTTGTCATGTATTTTATCAGCTAAAGACCTAAATAATTTGGACATTTACTGTAATCTTAATGTTTTTAGTTGTCTGAGCCCAAGTAATGTTATATGGAAAAATATTTTGTTTTGTGTATTTTTCATTTGGCTGCTGAAATACAAAAATATCTTAACTTCACTACTCTTCCCCCCCTGAGCCTTGTGAGACACACCGCACAATGGAGGGGAAAGAGGGAGGCTGAGGCTAAGGAGTGACAAACTGCAAGCAGCATAAACTCCATACATGCAAAATTTTCCCCAAGTAAGAAACTAGCCTTTTTAATGACAATAATTGTCTCTAGACAAATATATAGACATTTAAAAAGTTAAGTTAAAGAATTCCACATATAGAATACTAATACTGGTAGAAGAAGTTCTCCTCAATATTCTAGAGTTCTAATATTTGCCTCAGGCATTTATTAAAAACTGTGTTAAGTGTATAAATATTAAACAGAATAATTTCCAATATTTTATATTTTATACCTTTTTTCCACTCCATCAACTAAAGACCCATAGTTTATTTTAACATGTCTAAAATCATAGCAATGACAATAGTATTTAAACAATTGTCAGGACACTTGGCTGGCTCAATCGGTAGAACATGCGACTCTTGATCTCGGGGTCATGAGTTCAAGCCCCATGTTGGGTGTAGAGATTACAAAAAAATAAATAAATGTCAATTTTTTCTGTAACTTTATGCACATATCTATGGAAACCACTGATAATCTGTGGTCTTGAGTATATTCCACTATTGATAGCTGAATACGTACTTATTTTTGTTTTACAAATTAGGGGCTGAATGATACGAAACTACGTTTACAGACAGACTTGTCCTTTCCTGGTCCAGAGTATTGCTAGTGTTTTCTCTCCTTCTGTCCTGTCCAGAGCATTCTAGAATGGGAGTTCTGGCATTCACCCAGGGCCATAGCAGCCAATTGTGCTTTAGAGGTTCACGCTTCCGAGGAACAGTCAAATAAACCAGGGCAATCGGGAACCAGAGTTTATGAAATATAGTTTCTTAAGAATAGGTGCACCATCAAGTGAAATTCAATAAATGTTGTTTGTATGTGCCATATTATTAATAAACTTATTTTTTCACAGATGATTACTATTGGTATCTTATGTATTTGCTAGTTAGTAGCATTTGTTGTGTTTGAAATTTAAGTGCCCAAATATTATTGCAATAAACCAATACATTTAATTATGTATAAAACAATCATATGAATAACAGCTGCAAGTATTTTAAGTATGAAATATTTTCAAATACTTTCAATTAATTTTTCTCCATTTCTAGAAATCTCTTCAAAATTTTAGAAAATCTGCACAGCCTCCTGAAGCATCCAACTGTTACTGAGATGCCAGGGTTGATAGTAACTTCCTAACTCTGCTTTAGCTTCTTGGGTAACTAGCATGGTAAAAATGTTTAATGTATTAGCAGGAATAAGTAATGCCTGTATGAATAAGAAATTATTGGAATTCCAGCATTTATCCTGATATTCAGTATTACACCAGATACTAAATATGAAACTTATTAATAACAACAGTAAGAGTTCTAAACTTTTTTTTAAAATTTTTTAAAAGATTTTATTTATTCACTTGTCAGAAAGAGAAAGAGAGCACACAAGCAGGGAGAGAGGCAGGCAGAGAGAGAAGAAGGCTCCCCACTGAGCAAGGAGCCCAATGCTGGACTGGATCCCAGGACCCTGGGATCATGACCTGAGCTGAAGGCAGAGGCTTAACTGACTGAACCATCCAGGAGACCCAAGTTTCAAACTTTTTATTTTTAGCATTTTATTTAGCTATTGACCAATAACCTCTTGAAAACAAAACAAACAAAATAAAAAAGAAATGGATGCCTGGGTGGCTCAGTTGGTTAAGTGTCCAACTCTTGATTTCAACTCAAGTCATGATCTTGGGGTTTTGAGATTGAGCCCTGAGTCAGCTCCACGCTGGGTATAGGGGCTGCTTAAGAGTCTCTCTCCTCTGCCCCTCCCCCCTGCTAATAAATAAATAAAATCTTTAAAAAAACCCAAAACATAGATTTCCAGAAAGTTCCGCAATTCCAAAATGTAGGTTAGTTTCATATAAAAAAGTCATTTAAATATAATATTAAATATGAGATTACTGGAACTAATTAGGTGTTCTTTTGATGTTCCATTGTATTCTTTAAAAAAAAGTTTTGCTTTTCCTGATCTCAAAATACATTCATTATAGAAAAAAATGGAAAATACAGAAAAATACGGAAAAGAAAAAAAAATCAGCAGTAATTCCTCCAGCTAGATAAAATCTCTATTTATATTTTGGAGGCTATCTTTCTAGTTTTGCTTTTTCCTAGCAACTGCAATTATTTTTTTATTTTGCTTCTTGTGCTAGCCTCTTCACATAAAGCTGTGTACAGGGAATCTTACAGAAGGGAAACCTAATAAATGGGATACAATGTAACCTACCTTCCCCTCTACCCTTCTCTCATGATAGAATCACCTTCTATTCTTTTTTCTCGTATCTGGAATTGGTATACAGAATTAGTGACTAAAGAAAGACATATTTATGTTTTTAACAAGATAAAAGAAACGGGAGAAAACCAAAAATATTCAGATAAGTATTTTAATTATCACAGAAATCAAAGGTTATATGGACACAATTATGTGTCTATACACAACTATATATGTGCATATATACCCATAAGACTACTTACAAATATGTAAACATACATACAAAGTCTAGAAAGGAATATACAGAAATATGTGTTAGGGTACTGGGGTGATGTTTCTTTTTTATTAATTTGTAATATACTCAACAAACCATTACACTGAGGTAGGACTATTTTAATGTTAGAGAATCTTATACAAATGAATTTGTTCAAGAGCTTCTCTGTCAATATGCTTTTCTGGGTATACATCATAGTTCAGTGGTACCTCTTCAACCCAGGAAGATAACTGTATATTAATCTAGAAGAAAAAAAAAGGATTACAAACAAACATGAAAATTGCAGAATGATCCTGTTCTCTGGAACTTCAAGAAATCATGATGAACTAAGTAACTGAAGACAACAGATTTTTTTTTTACAACAAGCAGGACTAAGTTTACATGGTGTCACATGAACAATTCTTTGTTGTACTACATGGTAGGTCTGTGGGTTCAGGATTTAATTTACTTTGATTTTGGAATTTGAAAGAATAAAGAAAATACAGAATAGAGTAATTGTTTTAACGTAACTAGGTTAATAATTATCATTAGGTTTAAACAATAAAAGACTAAAACAACAATGAGAATACACAGAGAACAGAGAAAACTGTTCATACATACACAGTGATGGTGCTAAGGGGTTGCATGAGAGGCACTAATCTCCCTCCATAACCTTCATCAGGTCCTTCCCTTTGCACTGTAAACTTGAGTCCCTATGACACAGAAATTCTAGAGCTGCCAATGAATATATCTGGTTAAAGAAGTTTCATTAGGGATGCCCGGGTGGCTCAGTCAGTTAAGCGTCTGCCTTTGGCTCAGGTCATGAGCCCGGGGTCCTGGATCAAGCCCCACATCGGGCTCTCTGCTCAGTGGGGAGTCTGCTTCTCCCTCTGCCTGCCGCTCCCCCTGCTTTGTGCTCTCTCTCTCTCTGACAAATAAATTAATAAAATCTTAAAAAAAAATAAAGAAGTTTCATTAAATAAGAAAGCAATAAAGTTATTCAAAAATTCATGCATAAGGACTCTTTCATAAGTAATAATTTCCAGTGATTATCTAGACAGATTTATATATTTAGTGTGAAACCATTATTTTGTTAAGTGAAAAATCACCAAATTATTTCAATCTATAAAGAAATTATAAATTGGAGACCATATATATATATGGTCACATATACATATATATATATTTTTAAGTTTATATATATCTATATATATTTTTTTTGGTAGGCTCCACACCTAGCGGGAGCCCAATGCAGGACTCGAACTCAAGACCACTAAGATCAAGACTTCACTTGAGATCAAGAGTTGGATCCTTAACTGACTGAGCCACCCAGGCACCCCTTGGAGACCATATATTTTAAAAGACTTATTTTTTTTTAAATTTTTATTTTATTTATTTATTAGAAAGAGAGAGAGAGCACAAGCAGGGGGAGTGGCAGGTAGAGGGAGAAGCGGGTTCCCACTGAGCAGGGAGCCCGATGCGGGACTCGATCCCAGGACCCTGGGATCATGACCTGAGTCAAAGGCAGATGCTTAACCGACTGAGCCACCCAGGTGTCCCTAAACACATATTTTTATAAGCATGGAAAAGTATGGTGGATTACACCACACATGAGATGGGTCTCTCCTGGAAAAGAATCAAGTGGAGGGGATGGGGAGATTAACATCTTTTCTTTATATATCTCAGGATTATTTCCTTTGTTATTATAAACATGAATTACTTTTATAATTTATTTATTCATTCATTTAAGATTTTATTTATTTATTTGACAGAGAGAGACACAGCGAGAGAGGGAACACAAGCAGGGGGAGTGGGAGAGGGAGAAGCAGGCTTCCCGTGCAGCAGGGAGCCCGATGTGGGGCTCGATCCCAGGACCCTTGGATCATGACCTGAGCCCTGGGATCATGACCTGAGCTGAAGGCAGACGCTTAATGACTGAGCCACCCAGGCGCCCCTACTTTTATAATTTAGATGACTGACAAAAATTTCTTAAGGAAGTATTATTGATGATGGCTTAGTTTTTTTTTTTTTTAAAGATTTTATTTATTTCAGAGAGAGAGAGAATGAGAGATAGAAAGCACGAGAGGGAAGAGGGTCAGAGGGAGAAGCAAACTCCCCGCTGAGCAGGAAGCCCGATGCGGGACTCGATCCCGGGACTCCAGGATCATGACCTGAGCCGAAGGCAGTCGCTTAACCAACTGAGCCACCTAGGCGCCCGGCTTAGTTTTTTTTTAAAGGAAGAAATAGATGCTTACATTTGGCAGTGCTTATAGGAAAGGAAAGCGCTACTGAAGAAAACTATAATAATACTCCATTTATATTTTATTTCTTTCATCTAGGGGTCTCTAAGAACTTTATAAATACTAATTAACCTTTATATAGGGTCAACTTATTGGGCTGAAACTTAGTAAATAGGGACCTTACTTTATATGGAGAATCTAAGGAACAAAGAAGTGCTTTGTACAAGATTCCAAACTGTGCATAGGATATGGGCCTCCAGTCTACACATCCGATTCTAGAAGGCTTGAACAACTCTGTTCGTTTTGTTCTTTTTTTTCTTAAGATTTTATTTATTTGTGAGAGAGAGAGGAAGAGAGAGAGCACAAGCAGGGGGAGCATCAGGCAGAGGGAGAAGCAGGCTCCCTGCTGAGCAAGGAGCCTGATGCGGAACTTGATCCCAGGACCCCGACATCATGGAGCCGAAGGCAGGTGCTTAACTGACTAAGCCACCCAGGTATCTCTGTTCCTTTTGTTCTAAGGGGGAAGTTATGATGTGGGTGTTCTAAGCCTCTTACAAACATTTAGTAGCATTTGTTAACCTAAAACTGTAACCCCCAAGTTGGAAAAACTGGTTGGAGAAGTAAAGGAATCTATATCAAGATAAGAATTGCAATTTCAGAGCTCTTGGGGCCAATAAACAAACCACAAACCAGTTCTTGGGCCATAAGTTACTGCTATTCTTTCTACCATCTGTCACTACATTCAGATAGAACATCTCTAGAATATTGTTAATAGCTATCAGAAAAAAAACTGGAGAAAAGTTTTGACAATAAAAATGCTGGGAAAGGGGCGCCTGGGTGGTTCAGTTGGTTAAGCATCTGCCTTCGGCTCAGGTCATGATCCCAGAGTCCTGGGATCAAGTCCCGCATCAGGCTCCCTGCTCAGCGGGGTCTGCTTCTCCCTTTCCCCCTGCCCCTGCCCTCTCTCTCTTTTTCTCATGCATGTGCTCTAATAAATAAATAAAATCTTAAAAAGAAATGCTGGGAAAGAGGCTTACATACCTGAAGGCCTGAGAGAGAATCTTCAAGACTTGGTACTGTTACTAATAACGATCCTTGTTTCCTTACATTTTGACTGATATATTCCCAGGCTCTGCAACATATTAAAAACTTATATTTTAGGTTTTACCAGATACTGAACACTTTTTAAAAAATGAAGATGACAAAAGAAAATGCAGCACAGGCAATACCTAGAAATCCAGATGGGCAAAATGTTTGCCTGCAGGAAATAGGATTGCAGCAAAATATTAGAAATTGGTAAATTCTTCAGTTTCTGAAGGGGGTGTTGGCCAAATTATGATGTTAAAACATTGAAGAGATTCAACACGATGGGGATTTGTGTTACTACGAGGTACTGTTAAGGCCAAAACTCAGTTTTCAGAACCAATACACAAGTCAAAGCTGGATCAGTAGTTAAAGCCCCTTAAACTCTTCTGATTTTTTTTGAGGGGAGGGGGAGAGGGAGAAAAGAAGGGGAGAGGGAGAGGAAGGGGGTGGAGAGAGAGAGAGAGAGGGGCAGGGGAGAGAATCCCAAGTGGGCTCCAAGCCCAGCACAGAGCCGACACAGAGCTTGATCCCATGACCCTGAGATCATGACCTGAGCTGAAACCAAGAGTCAGAAGCTTAACTGACTGAGCCACCCAAGCGCTCCTTAAACTCTTGATGAAGTGTGTCAAAACTGGTTCTGTGGAATGGAGAAGGGCTAAGAGGTAGAGGTGGGGAAGAGTAGTGGAGAAAGGCCATAGATGCCAGAAGCCAAGCAAAGACTAACAATTAAGCATGATATGTAGATTACATCTTTTAAAATAACATCAAGAGTGAAATCATACTTTATCTGGTTGTCAAAAATATTTAATGGAAAGACTTTTGGGCAACATGGCGCCTGCGAAGTTGAGTGGGGCCAGCCAGACTGAAAGCATGATGAAATGCCATGTGCGTGTATATGTGCCACAAGGCAGTACCTGCCCAGTTCTGACTAATTCAGTGCAGACATGAACTGGCTTTCTATACTGTGCATGAGTGTTGACCGTACACCCCACTAGCAGGGAGCAATGGCCAAGCAAGGCAGAGATGCGCATCCCTTGCAACGGGCAGGTGGGCAGTGGTGTCATTTGCATTTCTCTCAGTTACAGCAATGGTTATTAGGTTTAGTATTCTGGAGTTTATTAGGCAAAACGATAAAAATGTTCTTTTTCCTCAGGCTAGATCTAAAATCATGTAGCAGTGCTTGATAATCGTCACTGTGCTTGGGCTAGAGCTATTGTTTTGATGTGGTTCCTTAAAAATGATATATTTTATAAGTTTATTTAATAAGAATGAAGAAGCTGACTAAATTGGCATGGTTGGCCGTGCCTCTCAGAATAGCACTTGCTGTTTCTGGTAAGCTATCATTCTGGTAGCTGTGTCTGTTTCACCTACTCAAAAAATACATTGAGGCACCTTTTAAACTTACAATTACTCTACAAATCTGGGGTGTTACTCTGTAATGAGATCGGACTTATTCTGAAGCCCGAGTCTTTGCTGAGTACACATTTTCTATTATTATGATATATTTCTGTTTTCTCGTATATACTAACTCCTATAGCAGTATCATTCCACTTGTCTCAGATTCTAATTAAGACAAGTCCTTGGAGGCTATATGTGGCGTCATCTTTCTTTTTCACTCAGTACAATACAGAATTAACATAGGTAAATGATCAGTTTTGTCAGAACGATTCCAATATCAGAATGCTTTACCGTGTCTTCTAAACATTCTCCTGTATACTGTCATCCATGGCTATAATCTATATTTCAAATTCATTGTACTAGACTGATTTAGGAGAAATGACTGAACCAGCACACGTGGTCGATACCTATTCACTGAACAATGTAGAGCGTGTGAATGAATATACCAAGAAAGCTTTTTAAAACAACCCAAATATTCAGTATTTCCAGTGTCAAGTTCACCAGTGGCTTTCATCACTCTTCAGCAGTCAAAATCTTCCTGTAATGAATCTCCAAAGATTTTAAAGTGTTTTTCTCTTTTAACTTCTTATACAACATAAACCTGGTACTATTTCATTCTCCAACAATTATGGAATGCTTTTGCCACTGGTCATTAACTTAAAAAGGTGAAAAGCTAATCATACTTTGTCCACTGGAAATTAAGCTTAAAGAGGGCTATGATTAAGATAACTTTGCTCATGTTGTGTTTCTGGTCTTCAGCCTGTGACCAAAAACTGTCACCCATTCTGGCTGAGCTTTGATTATATGATTAGCTTTCTTTTGAACTAGTTTCTTTTAAAAATATTTAAGCTGTTAATTTCACGATGACCTTAACCTACTAGCAGTGTGTGTGTGTGTGTGTGTGTGTGTGTGTGTGTGTGAGACAGAAAGCTGGGGGCAGGAGAGAACACAGGAGGTAAAAGGGTAGCAGGATAAAGAGCTTTAGCCATTCAGGATTCCACTCCATATTAACTGTTTATGGTCTATATGTCTTTTTATTTCTCTGCAGCATAAACCTTATTGATGCACTTATCCAAACATCTGTGTAATTCCATTTTGTACATATGGAAAGGAGTTTTCCTGCATTTAGAGTACACATATGCCATTATGATAAAAAAAAAGGTCATGAATCCTAGCTAGCTAGAAAATAAATGTCTCAGACTATGGACCACAGGAATTTTCTAATTAGAGGGACCTACTGGTCCTGATGGGTCACAAAGCATCAAATTGTGGCAGAGAAGTCAAAAAAGTGATCACAGATATGCTAATTTTCCCACTGTGTGAACAGTGGAATAGTTTTAGGAACCTACTATTACCACCTTAAAAATATTTTAAAAGTTTGATAACTAATCACTATTTTGGTTAATATTCTTATATCTTATATCACTTATAGAAATTAATTCCCATCATGTTTTTTCAAAGAAAATAAAACGGAGACAGAAAAGAGTAAGTATAAACGCCCATCGGGAATTGTTACTGCATTCCTGATTGCTAAGCAAATGCTTGGGTCATGATATCATTTAATATATGCCCCCCCATTAGATGTAATATTTTACAAACTTAGACAAAGTTTACTTTTTGTTTTATCCATACTACATTTCCTTATTAATATAATCTTGTTGAGGTTGTTTTAAAAAACAGTTTAGGGTGCCTGGGTGGCTCAGTCGGTTAAGCAACTGCCTTCGGCTCAGGTCATGATCCTGGAGTCCCGGGATCGAGTCCCACATCGGGCTCCCTGCTCAGCAGGGAGTCTGCTTCTCCCTCTGACCCTCTTCACTCTCGTGCTCTCTATCTCTCATTCTCTCTCTCTCAAATAAATAAAATCTTTAAAAAATAAAGTTTAATATGAAAATACTTCTACTTTACCAATCCCTTTTTAAAAAAAAGGTATTTATTTTAAGTAATCTCTACACTCAATGTGGGTCTTATATTCTCCAAGATCAAGAGTCACATGCTCTACTGACTGAGCCAGCCAGGCACCCCACTAATCCCTTTTCATAGTTTGCTGAATATATTTTAACAAATTTCTTGCTTGAATAAGTAACATACCTGGCCTGTTCGGCCTCATCAAGAAAATATTCGAAGACATTATTCATGATAATGACATCAGCATTTTGCAGCAGTGAACCCTGGGTACAGATGTCTGCATGAAGCACCTTAAGAAGAATGAGTTCATTTAAGAAAAGAAAGATAACCACAGAAGAAATATCTATGGGTTCAACGATACGAGGCGATATGAGAAGTCAACCTTAATTAAAATGTGAGAAAGAGCAGTATATTTAATAGTATCATCTATGGGAGATATTTAGTATCTAATTAAAAACCATAAACTTGTGAATATTTGTTTTAGATAGATTTGTTTACATAGTCATATAATTACAGTCTTTCAATCCCCAGTTCAGAACTTTTTCCACTATGACTATTATCATTAATTGTAAGAGTCAAAGGCCTTAGGTTCAAACTCTGGTTCCGTCATCAACTGAGTTTGTACACTAGGCAGTTGGTGTCTTCATAAATAAAAAGGAATAATATCTGTCCTGATTCACAGAATCAAATGGGATCATATAAAAACTATAAAAGTTATTTATGTATTGTAAAATGTTAATACAAAAAAATAAAATGTTAATACAGTATGTTTATTGGCTTCATCTGACTTTTCATCTAAAATTTACTTAATTATTTATCCAAAAAAACAAACAAAACAATGTATTTAAAAACTATATGCCTCACACCCAAAACAATAAAACACCTAGGAATAAACTTAACCAAAAAGGTGAAAGACCTGTACTTTCAAAAGTATAAAACACTGGGGTGCCTGGCTGGCTCAGTCGGTTAAGCGTCTGCCTTCGGCTCAGGTCATGATCCCAGAGTCCTGGGATCGAGTCCCGCATCGGGCTCCCTGCTCAGTGGGGAGTCTGCTTCTCCCTCTCCCTCTGCCTGCCGCTCTGCCTACTTGAGCTCTCTATCTCTCTGTCAAATAAATAAATAAAATATTTTAAAAAAACAACAACAAAAGTATAAAACATTGATGAAAGAAATTGAAGATGACACAAAGAAATGGAAAGACATTCCATGCTCATGGATGTAAAAATGTCTACACTACCCAAAGCAATGTACAGATATAATGCAATTCCTATCAAAACACCAACAGCATTTTTCACAAAACTAGAACAAACTATCCTAAAATGTGTACGGAAACCTTTGACAAAAGACTCCAAATAGACAAAGTCATCTTGAAAAAGAAAAACAGAACTGGAGGCATCACAATTCCAGGCTTCAAGTTATATTACAAAGCTGTAGTCATCAAAGCAGTATGGTACTGGCACAAAAATAGACACATAGATGAATAGAAGAGAATAGCAAACTAAGAAATAAACCCACAATTTTATGGTCAGTTAATCTTTGACAAAAGAGGCAAGAATATGCAACAGGAAAAAGTCTCTTCAACAAATGGTGTTGGGAAAACTGGACAGCTACATGCAAAAGAATGAAACTGGACCACTTTCTTACACCATACACAGAAATAAACTCAAGATGGAGTAAAGACCTAAATATAAGACCTGAAACCATTAAAATCCTAGAAGAGAGCACAGATAATAATTTCTCTCACATTGGCCACAGCAACATCTTTCTAGATAGGCCCCCCAAGTAAGGGAAACAAAAGCAAAAGTAAACTATTGGGACTATCTACTAAAGGTAACAATCAACCAAACTAAAAGACAACGTCCTGAATGGGAGATGATATTTGCAAATGATGTATCTGATAAAGGGTTGGTATCCAAAATATATAAAGAACTTGCACAACTCAACACCAAAAAACCAAAAAACCCAATTTAAAAAATGGGTAGAAGACACGAACAGACATTTTTCCAAAGAAGACATGCAGATGGCCAACAGACACATGAGAAGATGATCAACATCACTCATCATCAGGGAGATGCAAATCAAGACTACAATGAGATATCATTTCACACCTGTGAGAATGGCTAAAAACAAAAACACAGGAAACAAGTGTTGGTGAGGATGTAGAGAAAAAGGAACTCTCTTGCACTGTTGGTGGGAATGCAAACTGGTGCAGCCACTGTGGAAAACAATATAGAGGTTCCTCAAAAAGCTAAAAATAGAATGACCCTATGATCTGGCAATTGCACTACTGGGTATTTATCCCCAAAATACAAAAACACTAATTCAAAGGGATACATGCACCCTTGTGTTTATTGAAGCATTATTTACAACAGCCAAATTATGGAAGCAGCCCAAGTGTCCATCAATAGATGAATGGATAAAGATGTGGTATCTATATTTATCTATATGGGATATTATTCAGCCACACATATACAAACACACACACACATACAGATGGTATGACTATACACATATATGATCATATACGTGTGTGTGTATATGTATATATACATAGGATATTATTCAGCCATAAAAAAGAATGAAATCTTGCCATTTGCAATGACATGGATGGAGCCAGAGAGTATAATGCTAAGTGAAATAAACCAATCAGAGAAAGACAAATACGATATGATTTCACTCATACGTGGAATTTAAGAAACAAATTAAACAAGCAAAGGAGAGAAACAAAAAAAAGTAGAGAGAGACAAACCAAGAAATAGATCTTAACTATAGAGAACAAACTGATGGTTACCAGGGGGAGGTGGAAGGGGGGGATGGGTGAAACAGATGATGGGGATTAAAGAGTGCATTTATGATGAGCACTGAGCAATGTACAGAACGGCTGAATCACTATATTGTACACCTGAAACTAATATAACACTGTATGTCAACTACACAGGAATTACAATAAAAAACTTAATAATAAAAAATAAAAACTATATACCTCAAAAAATTAACTTGACCACAATCAACAAGTCTTACCACAGGCTAGATAACAAGAGAAAACATCTATTTTCTCAAGTGCAAAACAAACCACTTTTATTTTAAAAAGAAAAAAAAAGTTTAACTCTTTTGTATTAAAGGATTTCTTTGGGCTTACAAATAAATAGTATTCAGAATGTTGTGGGGTCTGATTCTTAACATATTTTATCCCCCTTTTTAAATAGTAAAAATACTAAGATAATTTAAATTAGGTGGGCCTCTAGTCTCTGAAACACACCTTTGACATATTCCTGAACACACAGAAAACAATCACTTTAAACTTTCTAAACATGTTGCTGAGATATGAAATAGGCATGCAAATTAACCTACTGATATACCACAGTTTCCTCTTTTTCTTTCCCATCTCTGTTCACTCTCCCACACCCCACCCCACAGATAGGGTAAAAAAAGAATGTGGTGGATCAATTAATTATGGCAACCAACAGAAGTCCCAGGGAAACTCCCCAAAATGGCTCTGGACAAACTGGAATACTAACAATGCAAAGGCCACATGGCAACCCAAAATAATTTAACCAATTTTTAATGGGCACCTCCTATATACGAGATACTGTGCTGGGAGATACATACACCATGATGAATGAGATACAATATCTACACTCAAATATGTTATATTCTAGTAATGGGATGAAACAGCTATGCTGGTAACGCTAAGTGCCATCAAAGGAATAAGCAAGATATGAATAAAGAAAAATTCCCCTTTAGTGTAGCAGAGAGGGTAGAAAGAATTTAAATCAATGGGTCTTTCATGTAAAGATAGTGCATAAGACACATGGCATCCTGAAACCCCACTATAGTAACAGTAGAGGGTTTTTAGTGTACCCAGGAGGATGGGGGGAATGGGAAAGGAAATAGCAGAGATAACATTTTGTAAGTTAGGGAAAAAAAGGAACTAACAAGGAATTTAGGAGACCAGAAAAATCTGATTTCTAAGCTGGATAGATAGAAAGCAAAGACCCACACTTGGTTTATACTACAGAATCTCAAAAAAGGCTCACAATTGATGGCACCAGGTATTTCTGGGTGAAGGAGTAGGGAGAAATGCTAAAAATAAGGTAATTGGGTTGAAAGTCAGTTTTAGAAGTACCCAGACCCCTATACGACTTTCTCATACCCCAGCAAAAGAATAGAGGTTTATTCCCTGGAAAGGGTAAAACAAAAGGTGTCTGGGTCAGGGGGCACCAGGACTAGTTGAAGGAAAGGCTAATGTACTGAAAACAAGGGAAGTAAGGCAGACAGGATGCTGTGAATCCCTTATGCTTCACTTCTTTTCCTCTGCCACTCAGTCCCCAGGATGTTGTTTGCCACTCAGTAAGGAGACTGGAAAAGTTTTCTCTGGGCAATCAGACCAGCCCAAGAGGAAAGATCTTAAGATACTTCATCAGATATTCCCCAACTAATTAACCAGCCAAACAAGATCACTCGACACTGAAGCCCACAGTGCGCAGAATCCCCCACTTCAACCAGCTTGTTTCTCACCCTGAAGTCTGAATGGACAACCAGGGATTCCTAGACTTCTTAAGAAAGTCCTGTTAAAAAAGCCCAAACAAGAACAAAAACAAAACAAAAAGCAGAGCCCGAGACTTAAAGGCTACATAGATTTCAAGATACTATAAAAAATAACCCTAGAATTCCTTTCTGTTGATCTTAGGGCCTCTCAAATACAACAATTGTCTTTACCATTGAGGAAGGAAACTGTTAAGGTTGCCAATAAAATGGTATAAAAACAGCTTTCTGTCACTGGGTTACAAATAGCCATTGAAGCTGCAGAAGCATGTGGGGTGGGCATTCATCCACATATGCTCTGTTGAAAAGCAAGGGGTGAAGACCTTTTAACATGTAAATAAATAAATGCGTTTTACATACCTTTATCGTCTTCTTTAAAAAAATAACAAGGTACTTGGATCTCCATTTATTTATTAAAAGATTTATTTGAGAGAGAGAGAACATGCGTGGGGCGGGGGCGGGGGGGAGGGGCAGAGCGAGAGGGAGAGAGAGAATCCCAAGCAGACTCCCTGCTGAGCACCGAGCCCTGCACAGAGCTATCCCACCACCCTGAGATCGTGACCTGAGCCGAAATCAAGAGTCGGATGCTCAACTGACTAAGCCACCCTGGCACCCATTTATAAACTAGGATTCTTAAAAGATCAATTTTTAAATCTTAACTTTCAATTAAATCAACATTCCTGTTATGTGATTATTATACAAGAACAATGTGTTTCTGTTCACTAAATATGGGATAGTGAGAAAAATCCATGAATTTATTACTAGACGATAAATTTGCTTTAATCATTTGCTTCTCTAAGATGAGAGAGAGACAAAGAGAGAGAAAAAAGGAAGTTTGGAAGGAGGAAAAAACATTTCCTTCAATAAAAAAAGGGGAGGACTAGATCCTTAATCATAGCGAGGTATCTTTCAACACTTTAACACCAGAGAGCCTTGGTTGCTCAGGATCTCTCTGCATTGCCACTGACGTGTAGGATCGTCAGTGAAATGACAAGAATCACTGCATTAACCAAAAAACTTCCTTTCCCTTTTCTGGTTATTCTTCCCCTTACATACAGAAAAAGAGAAAAGTTCTGTTATAGCCAAATGCAGGGCATCATTCTCCTGAACTGCTGTTCTGTGGCATCCACAACTCCTGGAAACTTAGAAGAAGAAGGTAAAGAACTGAGAGCATTACTTAACTTTTTTGCTTACTTTCAACATAAGAGTTTCATTAAGTACACTTCTGACCTACATCTAGAGATTCAAATTTGAATGTTGCTACCAAAACTATACTACAGAAGAGATGAAGGAAATTAAGAAAAATTCTACTTTCTAATAAAATTGGGGAGGAAGAGAAATAGGAGTGGAAGGTAATTATAATTAAATTCACCTTTATTGTTTGAAAGTACTAAGTCAACTCAATCTGTTTCTACACGACAGCCACCAAGAATAGATTCAAAAAGATTTTCCAACTCCAATCCAGAAGAAATCTGGCTAAATTATGCTATAAAATAGATAACGGAATATATATTTAAAAGGGTACCTTTAGTGCAGCATAGGGAACATAGTCAATGATATTGTGATAACGTTGTAGGGTGACAGACGGTAGCTACGCTCGTGATGAGCACTGCATAACATACAGACTTATCAAGTCACCATGCCGTGCACCTGAAACTCATGCAACGTTGTCTCTCAACTGCACTTCATTACCTTTATTCTGTCAGTGAACTGGTATTTTTTTATGACCATTTCCTGCAACTGGCAAAAGTCTCCATTCAATTCTACTCCATATAGTTGCAGTGCTGAACTGTAAAGATAACCCTGAAAAGATAAAGGCACGTTATGATGCAAATAAATGAACTGTGAGTTCATTTCTACACAAAATTAAAAAAAAAATCACACTTTAAAAAAATAGAATTCAATAAAGTAAAAATAAAATGAAAAATAACATGTATGTAAAACTTACAACTTCGAGAACTCAAAGATTCTTAAACTGATCAAGATCCTGACTGTAGTTTATTAATTTCATTATTTAAAAGCAATTATATTTTGAAAGATTGATTTCTTACTTTTCCTGATAAAATTGTGCATACAATAAAGTTGGAAATGAGAAAAGTGATCGCATACAGATTCTCTGTTTAATACCCTGTTTCTGTAATTTCTTGGGAAGTTACAGTGGCGGAAAGCAAGAAAGGAGTTAACCCGTGGGGAATATAATGGAAAATCATGCACAGTCTGACACTAGAGGCAGGTGGCTGGAGATGTGTCCTGTTTGGCTTAGGGAAGTCACTCTGGTGTCTGCGATCTGCCAAAGATAACCGACCAATTAGTTAACAAGGATAATCAAGAACTGACTAGATATTATTATGTATGCACTTTTGATTGTAAAAACAAAAAACTAACAAGGAAGGAAAGGTCAAAACATATTCTGATATCACTTTACATCAAGTAACACCCACATGTGAACCAAATTTATATTTATAGCTCATGATAGATTTTTAGAATATGTTCAACAGAGCATAAGTAGGTATTCAAAAATTTTTTGTTGACTGAATCAGTAACCATTTTAACATGAAGAAAAATGAGGATATGTTTAAATTTGTTAACACTGTCACATACTTGCATAGCCTCATTTCTTTCAGCTATATATATATATATATATACATACTTTGCTAACAAATCAAAAAACGGACAAGAGTGGAGCAAATATGGTAAATAATCATATTTACCCATGTTCTCCCTCAAAAAACCATCTGACAAACTGTATTTTCTATTATGGATATCTTTCCTAATTATAGAATAAAAGCCTTAACACTGACAAATAAACTAAGCACTAAAGAGTTAAGTGTTTCTGTTTAGAGCAGGCAATGGATGCTGGGAACTGAGAGCTTCTGGCATGAGCCTCTACTGCTGTTGGCCACATGTTTTAACAAGTCTGCTAATGACAACCAGAAACCACATTTAGAGTTTTTTGATAAAACCACTTAGGAACGTTACAAATACTCATGATTTGAATTTTTTTAAAAAAGCCACATTGAAGTGATATTTCAGACACAAATGTCTACATTCAAACTTGAATCACAGAAAATTGGAGCAAGATATGTCCTTGGATATCATTTAGTGGCTTATTTACAGGTGAGGAATGTGAAGCCAGGAGTGTTAAGCGACTTTGTTATGGCCATATGCAACTTCCCAGGTGAAGTAAATTTTATAAAAGTTTTTATAAAAGTTCTTATCAAAGTTCAGTACACTATTTAATACAGCACAAAGAAAACAAGAGTTAGAAGGTCAACAATGACTGACAAAATAGCAAAATGTTATGAGGTCACCTGCTTCTGCTTTGTTGATATGCCTTCATTTGTGTTACAGAGACAAACCAGTAAAGGAGATCAGAGAGCTGGCTTTTAAATTCCAAATTCAATATAATATTTTAACCTTATTATTCTGTTACTCTAATAAATAAAGCCAAGCTGTCACCTTGGATGGTGGCAGGCAAAACTGTTGCTAGTAGGAGGAGAAAGTATTTTCCAAATGTTGAATATGTCCACAAGCTGGACTTTACCCCATAAAGGACTGTGCCAAGCCTGGAGCCAACATCAACCAAGACCTTTCCCGACAGATCAGGGAGTACATGATGATAAATGAACTTCAATTCCATGAGGGAGAAGGAATGAGAAATAAATCCTGGAGAATTAGAACAGAATAAACATTAAATTGTGCTTGGGTATTAAACATTCTATTCTGTATTTCTAATTCTTTTATCCATATTTATAAAGTATATTCCAGGTTTTTCTCTTCTAAATCAATGAAAGCTATTCGGAGACTATTTAGAAAAAATTAATGTGATAATTTTGCACTCATTCACTCTGAGCTATATTAGAGAAGAATAACTATGAAGTCTCCGACAATTATTTTTATTTTTAAAGATTTATTTATTTCAGAGAGAGAGAGAGAGCATAAGCAGGAGGGACAGAGGGAGAGGGAGAGAAAAATCCCAAGCAGACTCCACGCTGAGCACAGAGCCCGATGCAGGGCTCGATCCCACGACCCTGAGATCATGACCTGGGCTGAGAACACCTGACCAACTGTGCCACCTTGGTGCCCCCAAGTCTCTGACATTTAAAAAGGCCTCTCGGGAATAGCTACCCAGCAACCTGGCCCTATCCTTACGCCCCTCACTTCCTTCTTGCTATCGCTTAGACGGTCCTTGGTTTTTCCCTTCTTTTCCCTATGACTTATTCTGTGGGATGCTTCCTAACTCCCCAATCATCTGGCTTTCTCACCTTACCCCAGAGCAGCCACAGAATAGCCCCATACTACTGCATTAGACTGCAATACTACTTCAATAGACTACCAAATGAATGACCATCTCTGGAGTTGAGCAATGTGGCAGCCCTGACCAACCTAAAATGTGTTCTGGAGTGCAGGAGAAGGGTGGTATGAAAGGAAGTGAAGATATGCCCATTAATTATTCTTATTTCCCTTAGTTTAACTGCTACAATTTTTTTAACTGCTACAAGCTTCCTAGCCCATCTTCTCCCTCCATTGTTTCTGTAATCAAATATCTGGGAGAGTCTGAGTGTATTTTTTTAAAGACTTACTATATTATGTCCTACATAATATAATGGTCAGGAAGGGGAGAAACTTTGGCCGTAACTAAGAGATGGTGGCAGAGAAAATGGAAGCAGGCAGGCTAATTCCTTAGAAGAAAATAAAGGGTGTGACTTGGGGTGGGGGTGGGCTTTGACCACCATAGCCTTACCTGCCTAGAATCCTCATCCTCACTACTCTGTCACATTAGTGCTTCTGCCCTGGGTTACAGAGTCATCATTAGTGTCTTACAGCTAGACAAGTCCCTTGTCACAGAAGGAAGGAGAGTTCCACAGATGATAGCTTTTTCAGATTCACTGTGGTTATGTGTGCTGGCCTGCATACCCAGTCACTATTTACAACCTGATTTGGATGGGAAAATGCTTCCTAATCTTCAAATTTTTATTTGTCAAACATATCTCTTCTTTAAATTTCTGTAAATCAGGGGCACCTGGGTGGCTCAGTTGGTTGAGTGTCCAACTCTTGATTTTGGCTTGGGTCAGGATCTCAGGGTCGTGCGACCGAGGCCCACATCAGGCTCCTCACTCAGGGGGGAGTCTGCTGGAGACTGTCTCTCTCCCTCTCCCTCTGCCCCTCCCCACCCCCGCTCTCTCTCTCCAAAATAAATAAATCTTAAAAAACATCTGTAAATCAGATCTGATATGGTATTATAGTTGCAATTCACTTTTTAGTTTTCCTTCTAACCTTCTTGTCTAAGTCACTTTCTATTCTGTAAATTTCAACCACCTCAAGTGGAAACTGTAAGTACTATCTAAAAACAGAATCTTAAGTTAATCAGGAGAGTTTAATTCCCAATTATAATATAGATACAATATATTTGTATTAGCAGCATATTACAAATTTGGTAGTAGTTAACTTTTGACAATGATATTATCTAAGATCAGTAATATGAACAAAAGATTACTCGCCTGGAGAGGTAGGCCACTATAAGCAATGACTCTATATCTAAGTGACCAGAAATCCTGAAATAGCGTGTCTAAAGGAATAGCCTAGATGACCATATCCAATTTGAACAAGGAAAAAATATATATACACGCACATATATAAAGACTTATTTATGTATTTGAGAGAGAGAACATGCATGTGCATGAGTGGGGGGAGGGCCAGAGGGAGAGGCAGAGAGAATCTCAAGCAGACTCCCTGCTGAGTGTGGAGCATAATGTGGGGCTCGATCCCATGACCCTGGGACCATGACCTGAGATGAAATCAAGACCCTGACACTCATGGGGTGCTTGGATGGCTCAGTTGGTTAAGCCACTGCCTTCAGCTCAGGTCATGATCCTGGAGTCCTGGGATCGAGTCCTGCGTCGGGCTCCCTGCTCAGCGGGGAGACTGCTTCTCCCTCTGACCCTCTCCCCTCTCATGCTCTCTCTCTCAAATAAGTACATAAAAATCTTAAAAAAAAAAAAAAAAGAGTCTGACACTCAAACAACTGAGCCACCCAGGAGCCGCTTAACAAAGAATACATTAACAGAAGAGTTAACATATTAGCGGCATGGAGTCAGTCTAGCTTCCCATTTGGGACACTGGTGCTGCCTCTAGGGGCGGAGATGCAGGAGACATTCTGTCACTAGAGTTGTCCCCTGTTATGGACTGGAGATGTTCTACTAGGTCAAATCAAGGCCTGAATAAGCTCTTTCTCAAGATTATCTCTGTCCTCTAAATCCATGCCCATCCAACAGTATCTGATTACTATCTGACTTCTCAAGTAGATGCTTTTATTGGGACATTTCAGCCCCCTTGCAGTTATATTTATCATTGTAAGTGAACCAGCATTATGGTATGGTTTATCTATGAATCTCTTTGAAGTATGGAAAGTATAAGTTGGTTTCCCTGTACTCAGTCACTTGTGATTAGTTTCTGGACCTGAAAAGTCACCTCTGATTCAACAGTTTCTGTGAAAAGCAGAGATACTCTCCTTGGAGACATTACGTGGCCCGGCTTCCCTGGACAATGTTGCTCTTTGGTCTCCCTAACCTCAATAATTGGTAATGGTTATGTTGAACGGTTGGCGTTTTCCTTTCAAAAAACACTGAATGACTTGGTCAAGAATCTGTGTTCTCAGGACATGGGAGAGAAAAGTATACACAAAGTCGTCGGGTTTGCATACTTGAATGCCTACCTAAAGGTGCCGTCTGGTGTGAGCCACACACCATACAGTAATTTCTGCTCATTTTTCCTTCCTCACATAATGAATCAATAAAGTCTTCATCATAAAGGAATGCATCAACGTGAACTGTGGGTTCTGGCTGCTGCTGTATCTGGGGGAAAGGAGAAGAACTTCAAAAGAAATGAAGTACAAAGGAGTCTCTTTTTATTGCTAAATAAGGCAAAACATCAGTGGTTCAAATGCTAAAATTCTGAGAGCAACAAGGCAGAGAAAGACAAGTTTCACTTATCGAAGAGCCGTCCTGCTCTTCTGTGTTTTTTTTTTTTTTGTGAGACACCAGCAACTTTTAATTTGACCTGTAACGATACAAAACGTGGCTAGGAGAAATAGAAAAAATTTGTGTTAAAGGAGTACTTCGTGACCGTCTTGTCCATCCTGGGTTGTGCATATATATATTTTTTAAAGATTTTATTTATTTGACAGAGAGAGACGTGGCGAGAGAGGGAACACAAGCAGGGGGAGTGGGAGAGGGAGAAGCAGGCTTCCCGCTGAGCAGGGAGCTCGATGCGGGGCTGATCCCAGGACCCTGGGATCATGACCTGAGCCGAAGGCAGACGCTTAACGACTAAGCCACCCAGGCGCCCCCTTGGGTTGTATATTTTACAAATAAAGAAACTCCTACTCAGAGATTTCTCCAAAGAAATGACCATGTAGAGGGGAAAGAATTAAACTAATACCGGGTCTCCTGAGTCCTGCGTGTCAGTGACCGACCCATGAAAACACTTAGCAAGTCATCTCTGCGCAGAGGCAGAGTTTTCAAATAATAAAAACGTTAGTAACATTTCATGCTTACAACGAACAGGCCTTTATTAATACTGGTGATACGTGATATAATAGCAAGCAGCTACCAAGAAAAAATGTCTTTTACCCTAACTATAATAAAGAATCAACCTATCTATTTGGAGACCTACAAAATTGTATCTACACCTACACACATCTATATTATAAGCGTGTAAAATGTATGGACATACACAAGGACCAGAAGGAAATAACAGAAGATAAAAATAGTTTGTTAGGAGAAGGGATTATGGGTAGACTGTTACATGCAATGACTACTTTTTCCTTGTTTCATGTATTTTGGTATATCATGCTATTGATACGACTGCCTTATTAATAACATCCAAACTATATTACAAATATTGCTCTCAGTTTTTATACTATCCACTATTTTCCACCTTTGGGACTGGAGGTTTACTAAAATTTGCTAAGTGCTCACAATGTGCACAGCACTATTGAAAATGTACAAGGTTTGGTTCCTCTGCTTCGGAATCTACACGGTGAAAAACCACAGAGGGTTGCTGTTTTCAGATTAGTGGGAGAAGAGATGATTATTATTAGCTTTGTTTCAGGAAACAATATTCCTTGCATAGGTACCCCAGAAGAGCTGAGATTTGAAGGGGCTTGAATGAGGGGGTTGTCCAGGGAAGAAAAATAAGAACTTACTTTAGGAATGAAGGAATAGAATAAACAAAAACTGTACAGCACAAAAGCAGGAGAAGACAAAGAGATGAATCTCACCTTCGATAACAGTGGGGGATACTGAACAGGAAAGAGAAAACCAGGACCATGATGTATACAGGCAGGGCCAGATTACTGTGGGGCCTTGTGTTTTTGCGGGTGGGGGACATGGAACAGGGTGGGGGGAGGCGCAGGGGTTTGAGTGTTTGGCAAACAGGATGCCCTCAAAAAATACCTGTTGAATGACTGGGGAGCCAGAGGATTACGGACTCAACAGAACTGGGGGCATCACTGAAGTACCAAATGAGAAACGGTTTGAAGTAGAATTCAGGACGAATTAGATGAGAGAGGCTGTGGGATTAGGGAAGAACAGGAGAATCCTCAAGTAGCACTAAGAGTAAATTAAGGCAATGTATTTACTTTTTGGAGGGCTACATGTTCTGAGGAAAGCATGGTTTCTAGAGGTAAGCAATTCCGAAGGTCCTCTGCTATGTTTTTCAACAGAATGTCGTTATTATCTTGAGTGAATTCATCAAAATCTCCTGGAAAAAAAAAAAAGGAAAGAAATATCTTTTATGGTTTTGGTTATACCTAGGCTCAGTGAACACAACGGCCATATTTTCTGTCAGCATCAATTTATAGCCGTAAATAAACCTTTTAACCAATGAAATATCCAAATTCTAACAAATGTTCCATTTCAAATATTGAGTTTTTCCTTTTCCTAAACTGCTTGAAAATACAAAACTTGATTATTTCAGCCTGTTTGAGAAAAACAAAAGCATTTAAAAAAATATATAGTATTTTAACTATTTTTACTCAAGAATAATACTGCCATTAGTTTGTAGGGTCTTAAACTTACCAGTAAGTAGTTAAATATTCCTTCTTTGACTATGCAGATCTGAGAAGTGTAGGAAGCATGGCAGAGATTACTAAGAAGATAACTTTAATCTGAGTACCCCTACCTCCAATAAAATGTACCTAAGCCTTCAGATAATAAGCACAAACAGCTGACACCAACTATATAATAAACTTTACAATAAATATGTTGCTCTGCTGCATTTGAGCAGCAAATAAATGATCATTAAAATAGCGTATTTTGGGGGGCACTTGGTTGGCTTGATCAGTGGAGCCTGTGACTCTTGATCTCGGGGTCATGAGTTCCAGCCTCACGTTGGTGTAGAGATTACTTAAAAAAAAAAAAAAAGCCTATTTCTGATGGCTATGGTGTACTTTTGGATGATCTGGCGAAAAGGGTTGGGGGGAATGGCAGGGAGAGAGTGTGTATAGCAATAAAGATGGAGAAAGTTTGGTTAAGGGATTGACAACTGTTGAATCTAGGCGAGGGTATAAAAGTGGTGTTCATTGTTGTTGTTTCTACTTTTCTGTGTTTAGTTTTTTTGGTTCTAAAAGAGTATTATTTCTAAGCAGCTCATATGTAATTTTAAATAGAATGTGACTTATCTGGAAGTAAAATATTCCTAAAGTTAGCTACTGTCTGGGATGCCAAATGTAGAATAGAAAGCGCTACTAATGAAAATATTTTACCTTTCTCTTAAAAGACTTTCTTATATTGAATTTTTGCTAGAATAACAGCATCCCAAAGGTATTGTTTCTTACTCTGTTTTAAAATAACTGTAGAAGGAAAACAAGGAGATCCTGAAGGAAATGTCATCTGTCTCCATATCCCCTGCCCCCAAATCTTTGGTGGTAGTTTTTAAGTAAGCTCACGATTTCATTCTTTTTTATTTTTTTATTATTTTTTTAAGGATTTTATTTATTTATTTGAGAGAGAGAGAATGAGAGAGAGAGCACATGAGAGGGGGGAGGGTCAGAGGGAGAAGCAGACTCCCTGCTGAGCAGGGAGCCCGATGTGGGACTCGACCCCGGGACTCCAGGATCATGACCTGAGCTGAAGGCAGTCGCTTAATCAACTGAGCCACCCAGGCGCCCCTCACGATTTCATTCTTAAATGAAAAATAATTCTTGCGTTGGTGTAGAATGCTATTTTCATGTCACTAATAACAATTAAAAGTTACAAAGCAGGCCGACAGCAGCACAAGGAAATAAACGGAGGTCTTCTGCTTCTACATAAAGGTACTCTTCTTTTCAGCTCTGTGCCCTATATCCAAAGGATCTTCCTCTGCATAGCCTCTCATTGAGCAATACTAGTGAATACAAAGATCTGGCTCTCTGAACTCATGTGAGAAGGCCTTTGAGGCCTTTTTTTTTCCTTGCCTACTTAGCATAATTTTTTTTTTAAGATTTTATTTATTTATTTGACAGAGAGAGACACAGCGAGAGAGGGAACACAAGCAGGGGGAGTGGGAGAGGGAGAAGCAGGCTTCCCGCGGAGCAGGGAGCCTGATGCGGGGCTCGATCCCAGGACCCTGGGATCATGACCTGAGCCGAAGGCAGACGCTTAACGACTGAGACACCCAGGCGCCCCGATTTAGCATAATGTTCTAAGCTGTTGCTTCAAATTATTTCTAGAAGGAGGTAGAATATAAATTATAGAGAAACAAAAACACTATTAAAATTCATTCCAAATTGTTTTAGGTAGAACTTAAATAGCATCTGTGAATACGTTTTTCAAAAAATTGGCCTTTTTAATTGTATTTGTAAAATATAATTGAATTTTCTCAAGGTGCTAATTAAACATTTATTAAATAATCTCTACACCCAACATGGGGCTCAAACTCACGACCCCAAGATCAAGAGATGCATGCTCCTCCAACTGAGCCAGCCAGGCGCCCCTCAAAGGTGCTAATTAATACCTAACATGTACTTAGCTTTCCTTCCCTCCATAGATAGATAGAACACTGGGAGCCTCTATGACTCACATTTAATTCTAATAATATCACTCCCACTAGTGATCCTTAGCAGGTTTTTCAATTTGTAAATGGTATAACTAGAGAAGCCAATAAAAATCTCATTATGTTAAACTAAGATATTTCCTATCCCAACTTCTTTGGACTTAATTCTGTAACATAAATAGCCACGTTAATAAAACACAGTTTTCATGTAGGTCTGCCTTATAAAATGAGTCTTCCAGTGAGAAGGGAACTTAGATTATGACCGATTACCAAATGGCCCCTCCATCTACTCATCTCTGATATATATATATATATATATATGATAGTTTAGTCTTTGCTTGAACACATTCAGGTCAGCCTTTCTTCCTCATGCAGAGCCAGAATCTGCGCCTCTATAACATTAACTCATTTTTCCAGTTTCAGCCCGAGAGGAATCATCACATTTAATGCTATACAACATTTACCGAATGAACCCTTCAGGCATGGTAGACTTGGTGCAGTGCTTTTCACAGGACATTTAATCCTAAAACTCCTATAGGTGGTACTATGATCATTTCTCCATTATAACAACAGCAACAAAAAATCTGAGGTCGGAGGTTAAGTTACTTGCCTCGGGTCATATTGGCCAGAAAATGGTAGAGCAGGGTTTGAATGCAGGTCTTAGTCTGAACTTTTTTTTTTTTTTAAAGGTTTTATTTTTAAGTAAGACCCCACGTGGGGCTTGAACTCATAACCTCGAGAGCAAGAGTCGCATGCATGCTCCTCCGACTGAGCCAGCCAGGCGCCCCCTTAGTCTGAACTCTTAATTACCACACCATACAGCCTCTCCAGAGTGGCAAAGTAGGTAGCTGGCTAGTAACAGTCCTCCTGCCACTACTGAAGTTTTCTCTTCTCCCCACCTCTGACCACAATTCTCCTCCATAGGATGGCCACAGCTGTATCCCTTGCTATCTGCTTGCTGTCTTCTGGACTTGTTCAACAGAACCCTTTAAATGTGGCTCCGTAAGCAACACTAGCAATCAAGTTCTCTAATCCATGACTACCTTAATTTTATTCTCTTCTCCTATCACTTTGTAGCATCTAGGGCCCTGAGCACCACTGCTCTGGGTGATTAATAGATTTGGAAGGGGGGAGGGTGGCAGTGGAGGCCTTGAGTGCCTTGAACAGTCATATGTACAGATTGAGGAAGCTGGAACAATGACAGATAGGAATGGCTGCAAATTCTGAACCATCACAATAGATTTCCAGCTTTCTGAAATAGTTTTATTTGAGAGTCAATATCCCAATTAATGTGAGCATCACCAGTCAAGATGAGAGACACTAAGAAATTGTATGTTAAATTCAGTCATTCAGAAAAGGTAGTATTAAATGAAGACTGCATTTATTTTACCTCAATACCAAGGATATCAGGTGAAAATGAGAATTGGCAACTCTTAACCCTGGACAACAAACTCTGATTCAACCACCCACATGCAAGGGTAAAAGGAGATTTCTTCAGTTATAGCAACGGTTCTTCACCATGGCTCTAGGCAAAGAGGATCCTCTGCATATGGGATTTATGTGGTCCATAAAGGGCCTAAAGTTGTATGCTTGGTTGTATACATAAATATGTATGCTTTTCTAGGAAGAAAGTTCTTAAGAGATCTTCAACAATTATAGCTAATATTACTGAGCACTATATGTAAGGCACTGTGGAAATTTTTAGTGCAAGAAGGCTAAAATTAGCTTTATTATTTGTAGTGGTTGGCAAATAACTTCTGAAAAGAGCAGCAAAACATTTTTACCCTAATAATGGCTGTACAGGTCAAAGAAGCATGATATGATATGATATTAATGAAGTATGTAAAACTGGAATTCACTTAACATTATATTTACTCTGTTATTAAAGTTAAATTCCTTAAAACATTATTTCTAAAGGCTGTGCAATATTCTACCATTGTGTATTTATTTAACCATTTGCTTCTCCTAATACACATTTTTTTTTTTAAAGATTTTATTTATTTGACAGAGAGACACAGCGAGAGAGGGAACTACAAGCCGGTGGAGTGAAAGAGGGAGAAGCAGGCTTCCCGCAGAGCAGGGAGCCCAATGCGGGGCTCAATCCCAGGACCCTGGGATCATGACCTGAGCCGAAGGCAGATGCTTAACGACTGAGCCACCCAGGTGCCCCCTCCTAATACACATTTAGATATACTTATAATTGTGAAAAATTAAGGATACTGCAACTGACATTTTGGCATCCACCGTCTCTTTACATTTCTGATTATTTCCTTATCATTAATGCTTAAAAGTAGAAGTACTTAAACATTTTAAAGACTCTTGCTACATATTGTCAAACTTCTTTCCTGAAAGATTATACCCATTTACTTTAAGGGAAAAGAATATGGATCTCATTAAACCCTTGCAGCATTAAATATTACCATAAAATCAAACTTAGTTGTTTTAATTTGCATTTCTTTAATTACTGGTGAGGCTGACATCTTTTAACATGTGAAATAGCTATTTCAGAATGTGTGGTAACAGTATTAGGCTTGGAAAAAGATTAAAGAAAGGTGTTAATCAGTTGCCTGACAGTAAAGTTCTCAAAATTACACATGTAGGTGGGAAGGGTATGGAGGAAGAAAAGCTTCTCTAAAGGGCAAAATTAATTCTTTCAAAATTTCCTGGTTATTTTTAAAGAAATAGTGAGGAAACAGAAATTACCAAACCTGACGGCCTATGAATCAAAC